TTAACCTGCATGGCTCTGTGCACTGCTAATTATTAACCCAGGCACAAGAAAGGGGTTCACCCAGAGTGTAGTTAAGTCATTTTTAATAGAGGTAAACACTAGTCATGTGGATGAGTAGCACTCAAGAAAGTTTAATCAGCAATGTTTAGGAATCACCCAGCCGAATTGCCATAACTTAATAATAATAAATAATCGAGTCTTTTTATGGCCCCTGTCTCTGGAGGACTTAGTGCATTAAAGATCTCTAGGGTGTGAATCTCTTAGTAGCTGTGGGGGAAGGGGCAAGTATCCTTGATGCTCCTTCCTAACTGAAGAAATTGGACAGCAGGGCTAAGAAAGGCAATCTGAGTTCCTTCTTTCTTATTTTCTTCTTCCCACATCTGAATCACCAACTTATACACGCCCTTTCATCTATCTATAGGACCAGAATGGCTCCAGGGGCTGGTGGGGCAGGGGCAGGGGGCGGGCAAGAGAACAGGCTTTCCTTTGTTCACGTGAATGATTGGGGTTGGGGTTTTTTCCCTTGGGAAGTGAGTATGAGCAGAGCTTTGTCTGAAGGAGTTTATTTCCTCTGTACAAGTGTCCCTGGTGTCCTTTGGGCTCAACCTGATTGTGGCTAAGGCGGTCACTGGCAATTCACCACTCCATACTGGCATGATTTCCAATTCCTGCGAGAGTAGAAAAGATGGCCCCGAGTCTTATTCTGAAAGTAATTCCCCACAGCAAGGGATGGAATGGGAAAGCATTTGTATAAATCATGTATCTTTACCTTCTCAGCACCATGACAGGGGTGTTAGAATATGCCTGGTTTTCAACAAGGAAACCTGAGCTCAGCAGGTGTAATGGATTGACTCCTGACTTTGCGATTGGTTAGACTGAAAGGAGAATATCACAGTCAAATTGGAGGCCTTTTGATTTTTATAAGTGGCTACTCCCTATAGTTTAGAAGATGGGGGTGGTGGACAGGAACACCAGGGTAGCAAATGGTAAGAATATTTCAATAGCTAATATCCTCTGACAACCACAGTTTGGGAGAGGAAGTTAAAATGTAGCCAACAGTACAGAAACCACCTTTTCCATTATTTCCCGTTCTTCTGTCCACGAATCATTTGTGCCTGAGCCAGAATCGCTGTTTCATTCTGGAAAAGTGAAATTTTAAAGAGGGTATCCAAACCATTATTAGGGCAAAAAGATAAATAATAAGAAGAATGGAATGATTTATACCCCAGACCACAAAATACATCAATTCTGAATGTTAAATTATAAGATAATTCATGTGCAAAATTGTTGCAATACTTATACTAGTGTTTATTAAAATTTACATTTGAATAACAAGGTGTAAAATGTAAATGAAACTGAAAACAGTTTTTGGAAAAAACATAAAATAGCTTCTATTAATTTTTTAGAATAGAGGATACAAATAGTTACGCTGTGCATATTTGTCTGCTAAAGCGTGAAACATACAATGGAATTGGAGGGCATAAGGACACTAAATCCATGCCTGAATTTCCATCCTCCCTGTCCACTGATACTTTTCAGTGATTCTAATCAGTACTGAATTTCTAAGGAAGTGCTCCTTGTCAAAACCACGCAGAGGAGGTTGAAGATTCTGGACGGATGTCGAGACCGAATCCGTATTTCAAAGACTAATCTTATTTCACTGATGTTTTCAGGGTTGGAGATTTTTGTCTCTATTCATTAGAGAGGAATGATAAATCTCTAATTTGTACTTTGCTAATAATACTGATGAGCTTTTGTGCTTCATTAAGGTTAAATGAATCTCATGTAGTCCTGGCTCAGCCTTTAACTCCATGTGTGATCTTGAGAAAAATCTCTGCATTGTCTGGGACTCAGTTTCTTCATCTGTAAAATGAGGGGGTTGGATCAGATGAGTGCTAAGACAGACCAGCCCTCTTTCCCTCCCTTATAGGTGGGAGATTGCCATTCCAGGCAGGTAGGACCCACAAAGGTGATTAAGACACATTGCTCTTGTCTTCAGGAGCTCATGGTCTACATAAATGACTCATTATCATATGAGCAATAATTGCAACATGCACAAATTACTCTAGGAGCACAGAAGCGGAAACAGTGAATTCCCTCTCTGGGGGAATAAACTTCACAGTGGCTGTGACATTTGAAGGCTGAGTAGAAGGGCTCCTCCAGGTGTGCTAGCTGGTCAAAGGGTGGGTTGTGCAGATTGTGGGTTCCAGGAAGCAAACACATGTGAAAGTGGTGTATTTAGGGAGCTGCACACGGTTCTCACAGTCTCTGGGCAGTGGTATCCCACACACTACTGGATCAGAATTTGTACTAATGGTAAATTACTGAGGTTAGAGACTATCATATAGAGTGTATAAATTAGAGTCAAAGTTTCCTATAATGGCACTGATAGGACCCATTTACATCCCAGTTGGGTTCGTTGCGTATAAAAGAAATGGTGGTATTTTTACCAATTCCCTGGGAATTAGGAGCCTGGAATCTGTTTTACTTGTACCACAACCACTGGTCTCAGTGTGCCCTTGGGAGTATGAATTACTCCCTATGGGGGTCATGTGTGCCCAAGAGGAGTGAAACTGCCACCACAGATCTTCTCTTCTTGCAATCTGTTAACCTATGAGGTGCGTGTCTTAGCCACACCGTTGATGGACACTTGGTTCTTTGTGACTTTGTAGGAGCTGATGTTTCTGTGATGACAGAGAGCAAAATTAGATAATTAGGTACTGATGATATAGTTTCTACTTAGTTTTTTTTTTTTTTTTTTTTTTTTTTTTTTTTTTTTTAAGGTGGAGTCTTGCTCTGTCACCAGGCTGGAGTGCAGTGGCATGATCTTGGCTCACTGCAACCTCTGCCTCCCAGGTTCAAGTGACTCTCCTGCCTCAGCCTCCTGAGTAGCTGGGACTACAGGGGTGTACCGCCATGCCCTGTTAATTTTTGTATTTTTAGTAGAAATGGGGTTTCACCATGTTAGCCAAGATGGTCTTGATCTCTAGACCTCGTGATCAGACTGCCTTGGCCTCCCAAAGTGCTGGCATTACTGGTATGAGCCACCATGCCCAGCCCCTATTTAGTTTTTAAGAGGAAAATAACTTTAGTTTTAAAATTTGGGTTGTAAATATAAGGCGTGTTCATTGCTAAAAATTAAATTAATACAGAAATGCTCTGATAAAATTTAAAAAGGTGACCCTGAATTCTATCTCCTGAAAATAAGCAATATTTCTGTGACCACTGTCACAGATCTCTCTAAATACATGTACATAATTGGACTCAGGATTATATGTGCCATATTGCTATCTGATATTTTCATTCAGAAGTAATCAAGGTATTTAAATAGACATTTAAAACAGCTGCACAATAATCTATTGTGTGAGATACATTATTTTTGGCTTGATTCCTTATTGCTAAACAATTAAGTAATATCGAGTGTTTTGCCAGTATAAATAATGCCATGATGAACATCCTTGTAGTTTTCTCTTACACATTTAGTTATCTCATTAGATTAAAAGCCTAGAAGTGGTATTGTTGGGCCAAGGAATGCATGTTTATTTTTTTTATATCTATCGTCAAACTATCTTCTAGAAGTTTCATTCCTTTTTACAATCCTACCATCAAAGCAGAAACTGGCTCATGTCTGAGTGGTGCTATCTGTATCTCTGCTGGTGCTCTTTTGCCTTTAAGTTACTGAGTGGGAAAGCATGAGAAGTGAGAGTACTTTTGGAGTGAGTGGGAGGTGGTATAAGCAGGGTGAACCTAAATCCACGTGGGAGATGTCAAAAAGTACTTGGCATTTGTGCATGTATTTACAAAAAGATATGTTCAAAAATGTTCATCACAATTCCTAATTGCCAACCACTGATAACAACCCAATGTCCACCAACATTTGGGTGGGGAAATGAATTGTAGTAAAATCCGACAGTGAAATACTACACAGTGAGAATGAATGAGCTACCATGTGCTACAGATGGATGACTCCAAAAGAAGCCAGATAGAGCCCGGGCACAGTATCTCACACTATAATCCCAGCACTTTAGGAGGCTGAGGTGGGTGGTTCACGAGGTTGGGAGTTTGAGACCAGCCTGGTTAATATGGCAAAACCCTATCTCTACTAAAAATACAAAAATTAGCCAGGCATGGTAGCATGTGTCTGTAATCCCAGCTATTCAGGAGACTGAGGCAGAAGAATCACTTGAACCTGGGAGCCAGAGGTTGCAGTGAGCTAAGATTGTGCCACTGCACTTCAGTCTGGGCAATAGAATGAGAATTCGACTCAAAAAAAAAAAAAGTCAGAAAAGAATTCATATTGTATCAGTCTATTTACATACAGTTCAAAACGAGGCAATTGAATTGATGGTGGGAGTGGTATTTAGTGGGTGCTTGTTTTTTTTTTTTTTTTTTTTTTTTTTTTTTTTTTCGGTAGATGTGTTTCCTGGTGCCAGAGTACTTGGCATTTAGGGCATTTAGTAGCCTTTCAATATTTGTTGAAAAACATACATTATTTTTTTTTAACCTTTCTTACAGTATTTGACCATGCTTGTTCCTCTGTGACCTTGAATAAGTTACTTAACTTTCTGGAGCCTCAGTTTCCCCATCTATAAAATGAGAAGTATAATAGAACTTACTTATAAAATTGTTGTGAAAATAATATTAATATAAATAATAGATGCCTATTTTTCTGTGTTTACTGTGTACTTGGCACTGGCCTAAGCCTTAAAATGTGTGACATAATTTGTTTAATTTTTTCAATACTATGATCTGTTTTGTGGTTTAGGGAACTGTAAGTTACAGAGTTAGTAAGTGTGAGGCCAGGATTGAAAGGCAAGCAGACTCATTCTGGAGCTGGAGCTCTTAAGCACTGCCTCCTGAATTAAAGGAAATATCACGCATAGAGTGCTTAGCAAAGTCGGCATATGTTATCACATTGTCCTTTTCAACATTGTTATTAATATTTTCTTCTCCTCTCTCTCTCCCCTTTCCCCTCCCTTATGTTTCTTCTCTCTTGGCAGATGTTTTTCAGCAAGGTAAGTTCACTGTCTCCTGCCTGCTTTTTCATTGGCTGTGCTCTTTGAGGAATATGGGTATGGTCTATATGCAGAGGGTTATGGGGATTCCCATTCTCCATGGACATGTCATGTGGACCTTCAGGGACACCATGAGGACAGTGGCTTAAAGTGCCATCAGCCTCCCTGGGCCTCTGCTGTCTGGCCTCTGCTTCTTCCTCTGAACCATGCTTGGGGGTAGGATGTGGACTGGACAACTGGGTAGGGACGCTTGGAGAGGGGTCTGTAGCTGGGATCTGGAAGGAGGGAGGGGTGCTGTGGGCCTGGTGAGGACCAAGACTCTGTAGGGGAGTCTGGGGAAAGGAGCCCCTGTTCCTCGGGGCTCCTGCCTCAGTATCAGCTGCTGCTCCTTATACCAGTACCAGTGGAGATCTCTTGGCCAAACAATCATGCCATTGTTGGAGAGGTGTGGTCAAGGCCACGGCTGGCTGGCCACTTCATGTCTTTCAACCTCGCCAGCTGGCTCTGACTGAGACAGGGCCAGGTGAGGGTATACAGTGTGGTCTGTTTTACTAGGCAAGGTCATGTGCTGTGGGGAGCTGGAGATGAAATTCTAACCCCACATTGGCCCATGTTTTAGTCCCCACTTAGGATGCAGAGCCATTGTGCTCTGGGGTGCAGCAGGAGACTCATGGGTCATAGCCTCCTCAAACCTTCTGGATACACGTTAAGGGGGAATTGCCTTTTTATCACAGCTTGACACTACTGGGTAAAAGTAGCAGGGCATCACTGTTTGTAGTCAAGCTGGGAAATACGTTGGTAGCACACATCTGCTGTGTCTTTCTGGAATCTAAGGCTGGCTTTGAATGAAAGAGACTGGTTTAAAAATAAATCCAGGCATTCCGTAAATAGCTTCCAAATAATCTTACAGGCTTGGTATTTTCACAACTGTTATTTCACCCCAAACATGCAGCATGTGTTATGGAGAATATCTGCTTTCTCTGATAGAGGTGCAGTTGTGGATAACAATGAGGGTACTGTTATATTGTCTTCTAAGAGTCTGGAGTCATAGACTTACTTTTATAAATAATTCATAAATCCCAACAAGCCATAAGTAATAAGTTCCATTTGGCTAGAGACTAAGAGATGAGCAAAATTGAAAAGGTGTCGTGACTGTTCGTGTAATGAAAGTGCTGCTGTCAGGGCCTGTTGCTGCAGTGAGTTTTCTTCCTTGACAAATTGGGGGGTCAGTGGGGCACTCTAGGCAGATAATTTTTTTTTTCTGTGAACTAGAATATAAGCAACCCCACACTGAATTGCATTTTTCCTCTTGAAACACAAAACATTTGAGTTTGGAAAGTCTTTCTGGAACCTGTGTATAGAGATACCTGAAGAATGGGGAGAAGAGAGGAGAGACTGGTATCAGATCTGGCTTTTCTACACACAATGGTGATCGTTCATTGTGGTTGTAATTGGCAGAAAAAAATGGCTTACCAGACTGCCTCTGTCAAGTTTGCTTTCTTTTTTAATCAGTCATGCCATTCGATTGATGGGATTTGCCTGTCAGTAACAATGATATGCAGAGCAAAAGTTATAATCATCTACAAATCACTGGCTAGCGAGACTTAATAACATCTGCCAGAGATGGAAGCTGCTAGTTACCCACTGCTCTGTGTGTCGGTGGGCGGCAGCTCCCTTATAAGATATTACTCGGATTTCAAATGGAAGGAACTGAACTCGCTTTTGTGAATTATTTACAAAGCTCTGGCCTTATTGGACCATTTCATCTGGAGACACATTCTCTGAAATAATGGCAAAGAGCTCACTCTCTTGTACCCCTTTCTTACCTTTGTTTCTGGCCATTCTGCTTATGAAAATATTGCTCCATAAAATGCGCAGCCAGTGACAGTCACATCAGCTCTGTGTCTTACAGACGGAATCTCAAATCATGATTTCCACAAGGTCTTCTGTGGTTGAAACTCAGGGCCAGAATTGTACCATTAAGTTGAAACATGGGGATGACAAATTGTGCTAGAAATCAACAAGCAGAAAACCACGTGGCTTCAAATGAACAGATGCCATGGTGTCGTCTGAGGCCCGTGCACTCGGTGGCAACGTTGAATGGCCCTGCCTTCCTGGACATGCCATGGGCATCCAGACCCTGCTTGCTTTGACTTGGCCAAGGAGTCATGGGCAGTTGCGGGAAGCACTACCTGATAAATGTGTGCTGCTGGCAGTGGGGGAGGGAGGACTCTGCCCAGTGGAGTCCCTGCCTGTTTGGGCTGCTGTGCACTGTGACAGGCAGAAGAGGGAAGCAGGCTCGCAGTTGACAACATCAGACATTCTCAGAGGAAACAGAAGTTATTTCCTCTGGATTGCATTATCTTGTATTTCACTACAGATCAATCTTGTTATGGTAGGTGACAGCACAGCAGATACTGCTGGGTTTTTCTCTGCTGTATCCGTGGCATGTGCACGTGGGAGTATGTTTCTACCCTGCTCTTGTGCCATTTTATAGCTTCTTTCTGTTCTTTCATCTGTAAATGTCACTTGCTGTGATGCTTAGACCACAAAGTCTGAGGATAGTCAAGGACCAGCGGGCCTGCAGCTGGGCCTTTCTGCTTACGAGTTCCAAGGCCACCAGGCCGTGTTTTCAAGGAGCCTTAATTGACCTACATTCCCTGTTGTCCACAGAGACATTGGGTGGCTCTCAGGAATTCCAAAGTGCCATAGAATTGCTCTTCACAACTTCAAATGCAATTGAGAATTTTGTATGTGCATGTGTGTCTAGAATCTTGAGTTTTAGAGCACTTTAATAACAATCGTTTACTAATGATGAAGTCAGGACCACAGAGACACACATGCACGCCTCATTTGAAGTTACTGAAGCACCTTTTGAATGCTCATTCGTTGCCTCAACCTTGATTCTGAAATCGAACAGAAACTGAGCAAGCCGCTTGGAAATCATAGCAGTACCGCTCAACAGAGCATTTTAAAGCATAAGTGGGCACAGTATAAAGATTTCACCATTTAGCTAATTCTCTCTGTGCTGTCAACTGAAGTCCCTTAAAGACTCTGAGCCCAGAGAGGCATAGCCTTTCCTCCCGCCAAGTTCTCATCTGGAGCCAGGATCTTGTTAATGGAGAGATTTTTCTTCCAGCTCCAGTAATGTGCGATACCCCTCAAGCACAGTGCATGACATGTTTATTCTGCAGCTGGTGCATATGTGAAGGGCACTTTCTAGACCTTGAGAATAAGTGAAAGACAGCAAAGTTTTTGTAGAACTTATAGTCTAGCTTAGGGGGCATTCTGTAGCCAAGTTTACAAATAAACAAGGTATATTCAAACAAGGATGAATGAAGAAAATATCTCAGGGTGATGTGCTAGTGGCTAGGAGGGCCACTCACTGTAGGAGGAGTGGCCAGAGAATGACAAGTAGGACCAGTTATTGAAGTATCTGGAGGAAGGACAGAAGGATTTACAAGGGAAAAGCCTTTAGATGTTCCAGGCTCAGAAGAAAGCCTGGGATGTGTCTGAATCTTGTGAGTGAAGGAGAAAGTTGTGTGAAATGAACAAGAACAGGACAGGCATCTGGGAAGCTACGGGAAAGGGAATTGGAGTTGGGTTTTAAGCAGGAGAAAGGCATGGTCTTATTCACATTTAAAAATGACCACTCTGGATGCTGTGAAAATGCAGAAAAACAGTGCATGAGAAGTGTAAACCAGGTCCAGGGCCGAGTGCTGAGTGGGAGCCTCTAACTACCGTTCTTTGTGTGTCTCTGCTCTCTCAGGCAGTGGGAACAGGCAGCCCCATTCCCAGCCAGCTTGCCTCTGCTGAGTGCCCACTTTCTGCTCACTTTGCCAGAAGAGGGTCTTGGGCCCTTGGCTTACATCTGCTCTCTTTAAGGCTGGCAAATTATGCTCATCAAGACATCATTAAAATATTCCTGTATGTGTCTTCAGATTTTAAAGAGCCACTTTTCTGCAATAGATACATACATGTGTGTATCATATGTATTACATATATATGAGACAAATATATATGTATATCATATATATTTTTTAGCTTCAGCTGAGTATAATGCAGAGGAAAGACAGCAAATTCCAAGGGCTCCAGGACCACTGGCAACAAAGAAAGGGTTTTTTTTTTGTGTGTGGGGCTGTGGCCCTCTGAACACCACATACCCATTTGCCATGGGCAACTACTCCCCAGCTCTGCAGAGTGAGTTCAGGCAGGAATTTGGACCTACAATTGCCACATAGCCAGGATTTTCAAGAGAAGCCAGGAATCTGGGATGGTGTGCCAAATCTTACAATGTTTAAGCTTTTAATTAAAGGTTAAACAAACAAACTGAACTCATCTATGGCCAGAATTGCCTCTGATCTCAGATTGCTGGCCAGTAATTAGGAGACTTTAGTTTTTCTGCAGCAGGGTTGCTGCCTTTGCAGGGAAAGTTTGGGCCAGATGCTTTGGTCTCTGGCCTCAGTTTTCTCATCTGTAAAATGAGAGATTTAGAGAGATCCCTAACCCTGCTTGTCTTTCCGTAGATGATCTATCTTGAGAAGTTTTAAGTGGACTTGAGTTAATAAAGTACAGAAATATCCCTTGTGTAGATTTTGTCTATTCACTAGATAACCTGGGTGAAAGCAGAGGCTTCCCCCACGTTGGTAAATTAAGGTTAAAAGAATGTGGTTTCAGAAGTGTAACCTGCTCACATGGCCGTTTTGAAACATCAGCGCTTTCCCACATGGATAAATGCTGAAATCCACAATGGATGGCCTTGCTTTTTATTAATTTGAAGAGAACAATAAATCATAGTTTGGGTTCTGGCATCGGAGCCAAGCTTGTTAATTGTTGGGGTGGGCTTGTGGTGACAGGCCCACTGCCATTTATAAGGAGCTTGGCTTGTGCTCTTTTGCATATTTTAAACTTACGGGTCAAACTGCTGGGGCTTCGTGCTAGGTTTTCCCAGCCACTTCTGTAAACCAATCTATTATAAAGCCGCAGCCCCTTAGCCATGA